CAGCAGTATCATTTTCACTGCGGCCATCCTACCCAGCCACGACAGGAACTTCCCCTCCCACCCCTTCAAAGTGTTCGCCATATTTCTCAACAGCGGGTCATAGTTTGCCGCTCACAAGTTTATCGTTTTTTTTTGTAAGTTTGATCCCTAAGAACGTTATATGGTCTTGTCTCCAGTCTAACGTGAATGTTGTCTGTAGAAGCTCTAATACAGTTGACGAAATCCCCACCCCCATGGCTTGTGTTTTTGTAATGTTTAGTTTGTAGTAGGAATGTTGTCCATATATAGTTATTTCTTGTAGTAAGTTGGGGAGGGAGATCTGTGGTTGCGTGAGTGTTAGTAAGATGTCATCTGCAAATAGATTTGTCATGTATTCCCTTTTGTTAATCATGACTCCATGTATGTTTGGGTTGCCTCTTATCCGTACCGCCAGGGGTTCCAGTGCCAAGACATATAGTTGGGGCGACAGGGGGCACCCCTGTCTGGTGCCATTCGTGAGTCATATGGACTCTGAGAGGAACCCCGCGTTTAGCACCTGGGCCCCTGGGGAGCTATATAGCGCTTCCACCACCGATATAAACCCCTCTGGGATAGCAAACTTGTGTAGCACTTCGCGAAGGAATCGCCAGTGTAGGCGATCAAAAGCCTTCTCCGCGTCTAGAGAGACCAGTAAGCCCCCATGTTCTGTTTTGCGGAGATGGTGCAAGATGTTTAGCCCACTTGGTCATTTTGAATGATAGTTGACAATACTGCCTCCAGTCAGATTGCATACACTTTGGCTAGGATTTTGGCGTCGGTATTGAGTAGGGATAAGGGCCTAAAGTTCTGTGGTACCGTGGGCGGTTTCCCTGGCTTGGGTAGTGTTACTATGTGCGCCGCTAACATTTCAGAGGGTAGGGTTCTTTGCAGAATGCCCTGTGTATAGCTTTTGACCAGGTAGGGTGCCAGGATGGTGCCAAACTTCTTATAATATTCATTATTTAGCCCGTCTGGTCCTGGGGATTTGCCTGAAGGCAGAGATTTTATTACCGCTAATATTTCCTCTGTACTTATTGGTTTTGTGAGATCTTGTTGTTGGTGACTTGTGAGGCGCGGTAAGTGTATGTCTCTCAGGTATGCGTGTATGTCCTTCTCTGTCGGTTGTGGGGTCCAGTTTCAAGTTGTACAGTTTGGCATAATAACGCGCAAATTCATCACTTATGGCTTTTGGGGTATTGAGCTTTTGTCCTGTGTGGGAGACAAGGTAGGGGATCTTTTGTGAGGCCTGTTTGGATCTGAGTCTTTGCGCTAGGAGTTTGATAGCCTTATTTCCCTGGGTGAAGTGACGTTGCTTCAGGTAGGTTGCGCTCTGTTTGTTCTAGGGCTTGGTTGTTCAGGGTTCTAGTGATTTGGAGTATGCGCCAACGCTTGTCGTCAGTGGGGGATATTTGGTTTTGGCAGGTTATATCAGTTAGTTCTTTTTGTAATTCGAGTGTGTGCTTTTGTGCCTGTTTTCAGAGGTATGAGGCCCGCCTTATCAGTAGACCCATTACCACTGGTTTATGGGCCATCCAGACTGTCGTGGATGAGACGTCCTGCGTATCATTTTCCACAAAGTATTGTTTTAGTTGTGTAGTCAGGTCAGCCACGAACTGTGGAGGAAGGAATCATTAATTCTCCAGGGGCTACGGTGTTTGAAGTCATAGAAGTCGTTCATTTCCAGGAGTACCGGAGCGTGATCTGACCATGTGATATGTGCTTTGTCACAGGTCTTGATCTGGTTAAGGTGGGAACCAGAGAGGAGGAACCCATCTATTCTGGAATATGAGTTGTGGACGTGTGAGAAATGTGTATATGCTTTTTCTAATGGGTGTGTGATTCTCCATGCATCATAGTAGTGGTAGACGTGCAATAATGTCTGGAGGGCTTTACTTTTGCGCTTGAGGATTCTGTATCTACTGCTAGTATTGTGTATGGTTGTGTCCATGTTCGGGTCAAAAATGTGGTTAAAGTCTCCACAGAATAGTGTTATTCCTTGTCTTATTGACGTCAATGTTTGGCATATTTTGTGTAAAAAGTTCCTCTGGTTTTGGTTTGGTGCATATATGTTTGCAATCGTGTATTCCATATCATTAATCGTTCCCACTATCATCACGTATCTGCCCATAGGGTCTACAAGCTGTGATTTTAGGGAGAAGGTGACTTGTCTGCTTATCAAGATAGATGTGCCTTTGGACTTAGTCGGAGAGGTGGAGTGAAACTGATACGGGTATTCTATAGCCAACACCTCTGGATGATCATTCGTGTGGAAGTGGGTCTCTTGCAGGCAGACCACGTCCGCGCTTTGTTTCCGAAGTACTCGGGTTAGTAAGTGTCTTTTTGCCTGGATTTTCAATCCCCTTACATTATGTGTGTATATTTTCATGTAGGGTCTAGCATTAATGGTTGTGCTGTGTTCCTTCTTGACCCCAGAATGGCAGTCAGATTTATCCTTGGATCAAGCAGTTATTACCCTACATTGAAAGATTATATCCTTGAATATTCTGTTCTTGCAAGTATGCATCTAGTAGCAGTTTGAACATCTGTATGGACTCTGATAAAACCACTTCTTCAGGCAGAGAATTCCACATCCTGATTGTTCTTACAGTAAAAAAACCTTTCCTTTGCCTTAGACGAAATCTTCTTTCTTCCAGTCTAAACTCATGGCCTCGTGTCCTATGTAAAGTCCGGTTTGTGAATAGATTTCCACACAATGGTTTGTATTGGCCCCGAATATATTTGTATAATGTTATCATATCCCCTCTCAGGCGACGTTTTTCTAAACTAAATAGGTTTAAATTTGTTAACCTTTCTTCATAGCTGATATGTTCCATTCCTTTTATTAATTTTGTAGCCCGCCTCTGCACTTTTTCTAGTGCCATAATATCCTTCTTTAGAACAGGTGCCCAAAATTGCACAGCATATTCAATATGGGGTCTTACCAGTGATTTATAAAGAGGCAAAATGATATTCTCGTCCCGAGAATGAATGCCCTTTTTCATGCATGACAATACCTTACTGGCCTTGGCCACTGCTGATTGACATTGCACATTGTTGCATAGTTTGTTGTCTATAACAATTCCCAAGTCCTTTTCATGTGTTGTTATCCCTAATTCGCTTCCATTAAGGGTATACGTTGCTTGTGTATTCTTTACGCCGAAGTGCATAACTTTGCATTTTTCAACATTAAATTTCATCTGCCATTTGAGTGCCCAGTCCCCCAGTCTATCTAAATCCCTCTGCAGCAAAGTAATATCTTACTCACATTGTATTGTTTTACAAAGTTTGGTGTCATCTGCAAACACTGAAACATGACTTTCAATGCGGTCTTCAAGATCATTTATAAACATGTTGAATAGAAGGGGTCCCAGAACAGACCCCTGAGGGACACCACTTGCCACCTCTGTCCAGCTTGAAAATTTACCATTAATGACAACTCTTTGTACTCTGTTTTTAAGCCAATGTTCTACCCAAGAACAAGCATTTTCATCTAGACCGATTTCCTTGAGTTTGAACACTAATCTATTGTGTGGAACTGTATCAAATGCCTTGGCAAAATCCAAATAGATCACATCCACGGCAACACCCTGATCTATACTTCTACTTACTTCTTCGTAGAACGCAATCAAGTTAGTTTGACATGACCTGTGCTTCATAAAACCGTGCTGATTTTTCCTGATAACCATGTTCTTCTCAAGGAATTCTTGAATATTATCCCTTAATAACCTTTCAAATATTTTACCAGCCACAGAAGTTAAGCTCACAGGTCTATAATTTCCAGGCAAGGATTTTGAACCCTTTTTGAATATAGGAACCACATCTGCCTTCCTCCAATCCTCCGGAACACTTCCTGAAAGAAAAGAATCTTGAAAGATTAAAAACAGAGGTTCACTTATTTCTGCACTTAGTTCCTTAAGTACACGTGGATGGATACCGTCAGGCCCTGGAGCTTTGTTTATATTAACTTTCTTTAGTTGCTGCAGCACCTTGTCTTGAGTTAACCAATTACAATTATTCTGCAAGTTTTTAGTAGCAATCATTTGCACATCTTTTGCCATGGGTTCTTGCTTAATATATACAGAGGAGAAATAGTTATTTAAAATTCCTGACTTTTCCTGGTCTTCATTAATTAACACCCCCGTTCCAGTTTTTAGTGTACCTACACTTTCATTTTGGTTTTTTTTAGAATTTATGTACTTAAAAAATGCTTTGGGGTTGGTTTTGCTCTCTTCAGCTATCATTATTTCATTTTGAAGTTTAGCAAGTCTAATTGCCTTTTTGCACGCATTATTTGCATCCTTATATCTTTTATAAGATGCATCTGATTTGTCCGATTTAAATGCTTTAAATGCCCTTCTCTTAGTTGTAATCTCTTGTTTTACTTCTCTACTAAGCCACATTGGTTTTAATTTGTTTCTTTTATATTTATTTCCCAACGGTACATACTGAGAAATGTACCTTTGTAATATTTGTTGGAAGATGATCCATTTATCCTCAGTGTTCTTTTCACTAAAGAGTTTATGCCAGTCAATATATTGTAAAGCTTCCCTTAACTTATTGAAATTGGCCTTTTTAAAATTATATGTTTTAGTATTCCCCATGTGCTTTTGTTTTTTTGAGTTTATTTCAAAGGACACTATATTGTGATCACTATTTCCCAAGTGCTCACCTACTTGAATGTTGGTCAAAAGATCAACGTTGTTTGTTAAAACCAAGTCCAGACAAGCATCCATTCTAGTTGGTGCTTGCACAAGATGTGACATGAAGGTGTCATTTAACAAGTTTAAAAACCTAATTCCCTTTGCTGAGGCACTAGTCCCTCTGTCCCAATTTATATCCGGGTAATTAAAATCTCCAATAATTAAAGTGTTACCCAGATTTGCAGCTTTCTCAATTTGCTCAAACAGCTGTTGTTCCTTGTCAATATTAACATTAGGTGGTTTATAACATATCCCAACCAATAGTTGGTTTCCCTTCTTTTCCCCCAAGCAGATATTTACCCATAAAGCTTCCACATTATCCTCCTCGCATTCCATTTGCTTAACATTTGGCTTTAAATCATGTTTGACATACAAACATACCCCACCACCCTTCTTGTTTTTCCTATCCTTCCTAAATAACATGTACCCATTTAAGTTAGCTGCCCAGTCATGTGTCTCATCCCACCATGTTTCAGTTATGCCTATTATATCATATTCTTTAGTGTATGCTAATGCCTCTAGTTCCCCCATTTTGTTATTTAGGCTCCTTGCATTAGTAAGCATACACTTAATATTATGCGTCACTTGTATATTTTGTGAATTTTCAACATTACACAGCTTCTCTGTTCTGAGCTTGCCCCTCCCCCCGTTTCCACCCCCCTTATACTGTGCTAAAGCCCATCTCCTTTCTGTCCTATCTCCATTTTGTAGATTGCTATGACCCTCCCCCCCTACTACTAGTTTAAAATCTCCTCCAACATTCTAGCCATCCTATCCCTCAACACTGCAGACCCTCTCCCGTTTAGGTGCAATCCATCACCACTATAAAGGTTGTACCCAATCGCAAAGTCAGCCCAGTGCTCTAAAAACCCCAAACCCTCCTTCCTGCACCAAGACTTAAGTGCCATCAAGCAGAGCAGACCAACCCCTGGGGTCTGTGTGGACTTCCCATAGGTACTTTGAGATAGGTCAGGTTTCCTTCCTGCTTGCCTTCCCCTAGGGGCGCGATTCCTATTAGTATCAGAGATGGGACCTCCCACCTGGTCCTCGGTATAGATCCCAGCATCATGGGCAACAGGCCGCACCCCGCTGGGTGTAACAAGATAATAACATAACCAAACAATGAAGAAAGTATTTACAATGTGAAAATTTGCCCTGTTTATGGCTAGGCACTTCATCCTATCCTTGGGGGTAGGAGCTGTCTGCTCCTATAGCTGGAAGAGTATGCGCATCACGCTGGCCAGTCTAGCTATGGCAACTTATCTTATTTATTTTTATTTTTTTACGATTAACCCTTCCTGTGTTTTGTGTTAGTTGTTGACTTACTTCTGCATGTTATCTCACTGGGATCCCAATCCCTCTAAATATGTGGTATACGTCCTATTCTACTTAACCATCCTGGCTGCCCTAAGATTTTTGTCTTGCTCTGTTTTCAATAGTATTGCAGGATTGGAGTTGGGTATTAGTAAGCATTTAAACAAGATACATTTACAGTAATTCCACTATAACCAGCAATACAGTGTTAATACTTGCAGCTTAGTTCGGAATGTTATAGGAGGCCTTATCTGGTGCCCTGTGTAGAATATTGCATATTCTATGTTTCTATTGATTATATATGGATGTGTGAATTGACATAAGTAACAGATGGTATAAGTCACAAGGCTTTCTTTGTCCGAGAGCTCTGGAATGTGGATGTGGGGGTTTTGTCCTTATATGGCTAGAGTTAAATGCTGACGTTAGTATTAGCACTTTTATATAGTAACAGAGGGACACAAGGTCACTCTCTCTTGGCATGTGGCTCTGGGCTCTCGGGCTCTCTCTGGCTCTCTCTCTCGATGTAAAGATGTAAGAATGTAAAGAAGTCCAGCAATTACCATCTGCTGTTGAATGTCCATTATCCTTTAACATCCTTTATTATGTTTTATTATGTATCCGTAACTAAGAATAAACCTGAAGAAACCGTAAGTCAGATTGCGTATTAGTACTTTTCAATAATATAGACATATATTATTGTGGCACGCATTTGGCCCAAGACTATATATACAAAAGACGTATATATATCAATCAACTGAAGATAAGAAGAAATTAAGAAGATTCAACATTAACATTATTCCAAATTACATTTTACATTGGCTAGCCAGCCAGTCTTCTATTCAAGTTTTCTTCCCACTTCAAGGGGAGAGAGAAAAGAATCGAGTTACAAAGCTATTTTGGAACTGGGAAAACAAACTTGAAGAGAAAAAAAAGAATCTAGATGGTCTCAAAAGAACTGTGGTTTGTAAGAAAAAGAAAGTTTTCAAATCACAAAGACTGTACAAGATTATTTTCTACAAATGAGACAAAAAGCACAAGATACAACGTGAATTCTAGAAGCAAGCACGTGGCAGAGATTGGCAAGCGTCCAGAATCAAGCAAAGAACTGCGCAGCTGTGTGGGTGAAGCAACGAAATAGACAGAGATAACTGATCTGGTAAAGCGTGACAGTTCCTACCTTTGGGAGCGCTGTGGGGATTCCTGCTGTCCCTGGGGTCCAGTGGGGTCCTGCTGTCCCTGGGGTCCAGTGGGGTCCTGCTGTCCCTGGGGTCCAGTGGGGTCCTGCTGTCCCTATGCACTCCAGTGGCAATGTGGCCACATTTTGCCAGCCTCTTCTCCTGGGGGGCCCAGGAGCTGGCCACCTCAGGCCCCCCCGAGGCTGGCAGTGGCTTCAGTTTGCCAGCGGCCGGGCTGCTGGGCGCACGCGAGGGAGGGAGCCGGCGCTGCTTACTGATGCTGGAGCCGGCCGCCGGCACACTGAAGCCACTGCCAGCCTCGGGGGGGCCTGAGGTGGCCAGCTCCTGGGCCCCCCAGGAGAAGAGGCTGGCAAAATGTGGCCACATTGCCACTGGAGTACATACCGGGTCGCAGCTGCGACCCCGGTATGTACGCCACTGCGCACCGCTCAAGACAGGGGCCTGGTGAGCAAAGAGATTCTCACCCTACAAGAAAAAGGCGCAATATATCAGGTCCCCTCACCCTCCCCTCGGTTCATGAGCAATCTATTTCTGGTACCCAAGAAGGGCGGTGGAGTACGCCCAGTCATCAGCCTGCGGCCCCTAAACGCATTTGTCCGGTACCACCATTTCAAAATGGAGGGTATCCACTGCCTGCCTGCGAGACCTGCTCAGGTTAGGGGACTGGATGCTCAAACTGGACCTACAAGACCCCTACCTCACAATCCCTATTGCGGAAGAGTGTCGCCACCTGCTCCAATTCCAATGGGAAAAGGCGACGTGGAGATTCCAATGCCTCCCCTTTGGACTCTCATCTGCCCCTTGGTGATTCACCAAGCTACTGAAGCCGGTGGTCGCCTTATTACGCAGCAGAGGCATATGGATGATCATATATCTAGACGATATGCTGATCGTGGCACACGAGGTTCATCAACTTCGACAACGCCTATCCTGGACACTGACCTTGCTACAAAATCTGAGATTTCTCATCAATTGGGAAAAATCAGTACTTACCCCGTTCCAAAACATGGAATTCCTAGGTTTCCAAATAGACGCAACTACCGGGACACTCAGTCTACCAACAGAGAAAGTCAAGAGCATAAAAAAGGAGATCCGCAGGACGCTGACAAGACCAGTGTTAACTCTACGACAACTAGCCAGAATAATTGAACTCCTCTCAGCCTCCATCCAGGCAATCTTCCCGGGGCCGCTGCACTACAGGGCCCTGCAACGACTAAAAGCCACACAGCTACGCTCGGGGCACTCATACTCCGACTCCGTGCCACTCGACTACACGTCCAAACAGGAACTCACCTGGTGGCTGCATCATATGGAGGCATGGAACGGCAGGGCAATCTTCGGGACTGCCCCAGATTTCATTGTAGAGTCCTATGCGAGTACACATGGTTGGGGAGCGCGTTGCAGGCCTACCTCCATACTCAGAGAAATAATTACACATCAACAGTTTGGAACTCATGGCGGGGTCATTTGCCCTGAAGAGCCTCCTTGGGACGGCAACCAACTGCTCGATTGTCCTACGAATGGACAACATGTCAGCAGTCGGCTACATCAACCACCTCGGTGGCACAAAATCAAAGATACTGGTGGACTTGGCCAAGGAGTTCTGGCAACACTGCCTGGCTTGCAATATTTCGGTCCAAGCGGAATACATCCCAGGCATGTCTAACATAGTAGCGGATTGGTACTCCAGACATCTGCAAGACGCCAGCGACTGGCGGCTAGACCGCTGTGTGTTCTTACGACTTCAGACACTCTGGGGCCCGATGCGAATCGATCTATTTGCGTCTCAGTTGAACTCCCAATTACCAACATTCTTCAGCTGGAGACCAGACCCAGACGCCCTAGCAGTGGATGATTTTCTCCAACAATGGCCAAACAGCCGATTGTATGCATTTCCTCCATTCTCCCTCATAGCTCGAACACTGGTGCACCTCAGATGTACTCAAGCGTCCATGGTCCTCATAACCTCATTTTGGACAGCTCAACCATGGTTCCCAGTACTCATGGAGATGTCCATAGACCTCCCAAGACTACTACCAGATGACTTACACCTTTTATCAGACCCAGAGGGCAACCCAAACCCCCTTCTGGTCCAGGGGCACTTCAAACTCTTAGCATGGTTCCTTTCAGGGGACCCTGGATCGTACCAGATGTTCCAAAGGAAACTATCGAGTTACTGGAAGGAGCTTGGGCACCTGGAACAAGACGCTCCTACCTCTATGCCTGGAACGGATGGAGTAGTTGGTGTGTGGAACAACAGGTGGATCCCGTACGTGCTCCTGTAAATTACCTGTTACGCTTCCTTACCAATCTGTACAACCAGGGCTTGGCCTACCGCACCATTAATGTTTACAGATCGGCAATCTCAGCAGGACATCGGGGAATAGATAGGACCCTAATGGGTCAACAACTATTGGTATGCCGTCTCCTACGTGGAATTCGGTTTGCTCGTCCTCCACAACCCCAATACACGTCACTGTGGGATGTCAATTCAGTCTTGCAACTGTTGGAAACTTGGCCACAAAATGAAGCACTCACACTTAAACAACTGTCAGCAAAACTGGCCATGCTCCTTTGCCTGATCTCTTGCAAGAGAGTGTCCGATGTTAGAGCGCTGGATTTTGATGCACGCTGCTTTACCCCACAGGAGTTTCATTCAACATCTCCAGGCGTACAAAGTCATCAATTACCTCAGTTTCATACCCTTCGTTCTTACATAACAGTAAACTCTTCCCATTGAACTGTTTACGGGAATACGAGAAATGAACCTTGGGATTCAGGAACCCGATGCATCCAGAATTTTTTTTGGCTATCAAACAGCCTCACCACCCTGTATCCACGGTAACTCTCGCCCGCTGGGTGAAATGGATAATGGCTTTGGCCCACATAGACACCACTGTGTATGGCGCACACTCTACTAGAGGAGCCATGGTGTCAAAGGTTTTCAATTTAGTCTGTAGGTTAGAGGACCTCCTGAGAACAGCAGATTGGTCTTGTGAATCGACATTTAAAGAATATTATTTTCGACCTACAGAACATGTGTCAGGTATGGTTATTTCACAGCTTTGAACCAGCCTAATAGGAGCCTCCGTGTCCTTTAATAAAATTACCAGATTTTACTAA